TCCTTCCTGCCTGCCTGCCTGCCTGCCTTCCTGCCTGCCTGCCTGCCTGCCTGCCTGCCTGCCTGCCTGCCTGCCTTCCTGCCTGCCTTCCTTCCTTCCTTCCTGCCTTCCTTCCTTCCTTCCTTCCTGCCTTCCTGCCTTCCTGCCTTCCTGCCTTCCTGCCTTCCTGCCTTCCTTCCTGCCTTCCTTCCTTCCTGCCTGCCTGCCTTCCTTCCTGCCTGCCTGCCTGCCTTCCTTCCTTCCTTCCTGCCTTCCTGCCTTCCTTCCTTCCTTCCTGCCTTCCTGCCTTCCTTCCTGCCTTCCTGCCTTCCTGCCTTCCTGCCTTCCTGCCTTCCTGCCTGCCTTCCTGCCTTCCTGCCTTCCTGCCTTCCTGCCTTCCTGCCTTCCTTCCTGCCTTCCTTCCTGCCTCCCTGCCTGCCTCCCTGCCTCCCTGCCTCCCTGCCTCCCTGCCTCCCTGCCTCCCTGCCTCCCTGCCTTCCCGCCTGCCTTCCCGCCTGCCTTCCTGCCTTCCTGCCTCCCGCGCTCCCTCCCGCACTTCCGCACTTCCTTCCTTTCCCTCTGCCTCTTTTACGATTAAATAAAATACATCCATTTTTGGAACCAACATTTAACCTCATTTGGTTTTAATATCATTTTGGGATATATTTTGAACCTTCTAAGTTCCTTTCAGTTTATAGACAGACACTTAGTTTTCTTTGCCTTTCTAAGTTTAAACCAGATTGTAACAACAATTTTTTCTTACATTTCTTCATGTGCTGAAAATTAGTTCTTCTGAAGCACTAAATATACTCCTACCTAGTTGGATGGTTTAGGTATTTTTGTGATTTTTTTTCAGAGGGAAAAGGGATAATTAAAAAAATGAAAGCATATTCACAGTACAGTGTTGGAAGGAGTGAGTTAGTAAAATACACAGCATTTGATAAAATAGGAAACTTGTATTCCTCTCATGTCCCAATGAAAAGCACCTTACAAACTGACAAAAAAATATGAAGGCAGGAAATGAATGCTAGTAATTTCAGTAGTAAGACATTAGGCAATTTGTATACACAGAAGTGAAAAAAGATTTTAACCAAAATAGACAAGGCTAGATGTTTTATCTACAACATCATCACTACAAATAGCTGCTCATTAAGGTTGTCAAACAGCTACAAACATAATTGAACATCAATTTTATGATTTCAACCTCAGTAAAGACTTTGACACTGTTTTCCACAGCATTCTCCTGGAAAAACTGACTTCCTGTGGTTTGTTTGACTCTACTACAGGGTAAAAAACTGGTTGGATGGTTGGGCCAAGAGAGTGGTGGTGAATGGAATATCAGCAATAGTGTGGCCATCAGGACCGGGGCTGTTACCATCCCCTTGTACTCGGTGAGTACAAGCCTCATTGGTGAGGCTGCACATTGAATCTTGTGTTCAGTTCTGGGCTCCTTGCTGCAAAAAGGGGAACTGGAGTTCTTCCAAAGAAAGGCTGTGAATCTGGTGAAGGAAAAAATAAGTCTTAGGAGGAGCAGCAGCTTTTGTCCCTACCCCTGACCCACCCCAACCTCCCTAGATGCAAGTGCTTCCTAAACCTTGAAAAGCAGAATTTGGTTGGGTATCACTTGAGGTTTTGCTTACTGTGTGGCGGAGTTTATAATGAGAAGGAAAAGAGAGAGGCAAAGGTATATAAAGTGCATTTCAACTTCCTCAGTGATCAGAGGCAAAAGCTGGCCAGCAAAGGGAACTCTGGACAAGCCACAGTAGAGGGCTTGCCTTCAAGCCACCTACACAAACTGCAGCCACAAGGCAGATGTAGTTGAGACCTGAACAGAATTAACAAGCTTTACTCAATCTTAGACTTTACCGACTCTTGGAAATAATCACATCAGTGCAGAGCTAAAGCACGTGGACAACATGAACTGCAGCCATAGAGTATGGCGGTGTGAGTTAGACACTGTGTGTACTTTGTCACTGCCATGGAGGGAAGAAATGAGTCCCCAGTGACCCCAGACTGACAAGAAGACACCTCTGGACAGTAATGTGAATGTCATGAAATGATGTTACCAGATTTCTAATGAACAACCAGAAGTTAATCTCTGTCACTGGGACAGGGCAATGTAAATCGCTATAGATTGGCAGTATGAAAGTAGGAGGAAAATATTGCAGCCCTGGGAAGCTGGAGTGAAGAAGCTGCAATTAGTACTCACAGAGGTTCCCAGTAAACACTCTGAGTCCTCATATTCAAAGATGGGTGATGGCTGGCCTGAACAAAGGAAAAATTGTGCTGGAAAATCTCAAAAGGATATAAAACAGCTTCTCAGTTCATCATGTAATTTCTCCCATCCAATTGATGGCAATATTTTGACAATAATTGCATGTCTGTTTGACAACCATACACTGCCAGTCTCTTTAATGGACCTCTGTGTTTTCAAAATATCCCTAAATGACACAGTTTTTAATGAGCTACACAGCTGCAGGCTGGATACTAATTTACGATAGAAACAGTGCTATCACACTCTTCTTTCCTCTTGGTAGTGTTGTAACATGAGTTTGAGATAAGCACTTAAAAATAATGATCATTTCAAAATGTTTTCAACTGATATCAGGTTTTTTGTCCCATGAAATCCTGACTTCTACTTATTTTCAGTTTTGCTGATAAATGAGCAGAATTGCAGTTATGAATAAGGATTTTATTTTTCTTTTCAGATCTGATGTGCACCTTTACAGATAGCACAAATAAATGTGCATAAGACCAATGTTATTAAAGAGAAGATCTGTTTTTATTAAAGACATCACTTTCAAAGACACAGTTGTCTACCTCATCCTTATTTTGATACTTGTGGATACAAAACAATTTAATAAAATCCGTGAAAACCCTGAATGCTGTTTGTATTCAGATTACTAATAAGATAAAAATGGTTCTCATTATCTCAGTCATGTTAAGGCCTTATTCAAGGATAAGAGGCTGTAAAGTATTACTGCTCTTTTAGAACTTCCTTTGTCACATCCATTTCTTTCACTGCTGGAAAATTATGAAAGCAATTTTAGGAAACCAGAGGACAGAAAATGTTCATAAGTCTTCTCCAGCCATTTTGAGGAGGAATGATGACATACACATTCAAAGTACACAGCTCAAGTATTTTGAGGTTAGGACTATTGCCTCTTTTTAATTTATAAGAAAAAAAACAAACCCAAACTTCATTCTAGACACAGGATTTTTTCAGTGCATCACTAAAAATAAGCCTTTAATATGCAATGCTTATGACTCCACTACCATAAAAATTAAAATCTAGCTCATGATGCACAACAGAAACCATTTTAATTCTCATTACACATAGAACTCCAGAAGTTCTGGCACAGTTTTTCATGAAGCTGTATTTTAACACACACTTAAAAATAAACGTAACCCTTCTAACTCTGCAGCTATTAAACACTCCGCCAGGCATAGGAGACTGAATACCACATAACCAATTTTCACAATTCTCACAATTTCAGATATAATATATTCCAGTCTATCAAGCATTCTTATACTGAAGGTTCTTGGTATCAGCCAGCAAGATTATCCTTGATCTGTGGGCAACTGGAAACTTCTCTAAAACTAAATGTCATGTTGGCTAACTGGGAGAAGTAATTAAACCTTCTTTGTAAAGAGGAGAGCTGGAACAAAAGAATCCATTGTTCAGTCATTGGACCACATGGGAAGGCCAGAACAAATGCTAATTAACCCAGAGAAAATAGATGCTTCCTTTGTTCACAGATTGATTGAGATGAATTTTGGAGCCTGACAAAACCAGGAAGTTTATGTTTTCCTCAGCTATATAGTGATCTGGATTAAGTGTTTTTCTCTCCTGCTCACAGCCCTGGGCCATTTCCATGCACTTGGAGGTTATTGCCCTCCAATCTCCTGCATAAATATTTTTCTGAATACTCTTTAGCTCAAATTCATTTCACTGAGATGGATTAAGGACGTAGCAAATCAAATGTCTGGAGAATGCTTTGATGAAAAGTAAAGGGAAGTAATTAGTTAACTCAGGTTAGCAGCAACTAAGTAAATTTTATTTCATACAAGTACTGATGGAAAACCACAGGATTACCAGCAGCTGGGAAAAGTATGAGTTCCTGGGATCCTGGACAGGCTGCAAAACATTTTTGGACTTCTTAGCAAGGAAACTGTTCAAGAGAGCTAAAACTGAGAGCATTCCCTATGAAAAGAGAAAATAAATGAACATATCTCACTACCATTCTCAACTTCTCCTAAGAAAGTAGCTTAGCAAGGCCCTCCTCATTTCCCCTCAATTGCCTAAAAGCTCAACCTAAGAAGCAACAACAAAGTTAAACTTCAGCTAGAGAAGTTCTTATTTTGTTCTTGAGAAATATATTTTGGTTTCTGGAAGGGCATAACTGACATTTTTCTTCATGTGGGCTCACCTTTAAAAATACTTAGAAAATACCTGTACTTAAATATTTAGTACAATATTTGCCTAATATTTTCCAAAAAAAAGTGTGCTAAAAATATTCTACAAGCTTTTACTGATAACACAGAGATTAAACACCTTCTCTTACCTTGAATTATAATAGTCTCCAAAGTAAACATAGCAAATGTTAACAGACCACAATGGCTTGGAGCAGGAAGTGAAAAAATATCTACTAAGAATTGCAAAAGGAAGCACAATGGCACATAAATATATAGGGATTTTTTGTTTTGTTTTGTTTTTAGGATATTTATCACTGCCAGCTTACAAATCAATAGAAGGAGGAAGGAAAATAAGTAGATTTATATGGTATGGATTTCAAAGTGTACCTTTTAGAAGTAGACCTATATATTTTCTGTCATTGGAAGGGACTACAAAAGAAACAAAAAGAATATCAAAAGTTTGCCTAAAATCTGATTAATGAAAAAAGTGAAATTACTATAAATTTAAGAAATTCATTATTTATTTCACTTAATAGATCCACTTTTGCAAAATTCGAGCATTAAAACTTTTCAGGTTGTGCAACCCTTTAAAAAGTAGTTAAAGGTTCTGGAATTTGCTTATCACTAAAGTTGAGTGTTAAAGAGCTGAGATTGTAAATACTTACTATTTTATTACTGACAGATATGCTGAGCATTGTTTCAAAGCTGATAAAACAAGATCTGCTTCAACAGAAGAGGAATTTTATGTGTAAGTGGTGCACATTTGGAAAACATTTTTCACAGTTTCATTTGCCTCTCTTTTTCTTCAGTGAATGTTAATTTCCAAGATAAAGGCTTGTCACTTTCCAAAAAAAAATTGGTGTGGATTTATGCTTGTCAATATTTTTAGCTTGTATTTCATCACAGAAATGTTGCTTCCTAGTTATTTTAACAGAGAATTTTTAGTTTAGCAGCAGCCTTTTATGAAACGTCTCATAATACCAGACATTACAGCACAGGCATTCAAATAAATATAAATGGAAATTCCTTTCAGTTAAACTGATACCACAATTTTAGCAATCATGCCTTCTCATTTGCCTCTGGGCTTGCCCTTTCCAGTCTAAAGATCTCTGTATTCCTATTTTTGAATTCCTCTACTCAAAATTAGCCTATGTCCTTTGAGCCTAAGAATATGGTAGCCTTTTAATCCAAATGTGACTATCTCAGCAGAGGCTGGAATGATTTATGGAAGGCCAGATCTCTTTCTTTCACAGAGGTCAATGTCAGAAATCTGATTGACCCTTAATAGAAGGTCAGTAGAAAAATGGCATAGAATTTGAAGTCCAAAGGGATTGTTTTCAAGCTATCTTGCCAAACTTTATTTCACCAGCAACTCCTGTGTAAAAGTGCACAGGCATGTGTAGATAGGTAGCAAATATTTTAAAATAATAATAGCAGAGTGGCCAGTTAAAAGACAGATACATATTTTAAATGGCACACCTGTTAAAAATATTTGCTTATTATCTCCAAGTTATCATTCAGAGGCATTCAAAGATCTAGTCCAACACTGTTAAATACATTGCCCTTATGAACTCCTTCATGTGGTGATTCCACAGTGACATGTAGACAACCCACTATAACTCACTCAAAAAGCAAAAGCTGAAATCAGAATAAACATGTAGCAGCCTTAAAAGATGCTTCAGGAATTCTTAAGACTGCAACCAGTAGTCACAAATCCTTTGTAAACCAGAGGCCACCTACAGGCAGTTAAATGACAAGCACACATTTGGGTGAGGATGGCTGTGGCCATTTTATCTTCCTTTTATTTAATATCAATGTGACTTCCAAAATCGCTTTGAATACAGAAACCCCACCAGTAACCATATATTTCAATATGTTGAAATAGCCTAGTTCAATGACCCTCCTCAGAAGATTATTTATAGATACAAATTCCAATTAAATTTGGAGATACTGATAAGCACTCCATACCTAGCCCTTCATTGTGATGTTTTGGGAGAAAATCCAGCATGATTTTCCTCCATTTTACTGAGCTCAGTATTGGACTTCAGTTATCTTCTCTATCACTATTACCCAAATTAAAGATTCTTAATATTTCTGCATTGTGAAGTGAAAAAAAAACCAACAAAAAAACTTTTTATATAAGGAAAGGTTGTTTTTTTCAAAGTTCACAAGAAAGTTCTGTAGTGTAAGATCAGCATGGTGCCATGGTTGCTTATGTCATCCTTGACTTGCCTCTTCCTTGCTTCCTTCCTTCTTTAAGGTTCAAATCAACTTAGAACTGGGAAAGAAGATAGAAATTGGAAGCAAGCCAATTTGTGGCTACAAACCAACAAAATCACCGATTTCAGCAACTAATTTTTTTTTGTTTGTTTTGTCTTGTACTTCAGTGGCTTTATTTAATTTTGTCAAAGATTTTACATATTTTTTGTATTCTCCAAAATAAAATTCATAATTTTCAATTTATGTGAAATAAAATGCTTTCAACCAAAGGAATTTTAGTACTTTGATTTTCCAAAAAAAAGCACTCCACAGGAAAAACACATTAGTCTAGGTAAAATAAGCAGCAATAACCAACTCCCACTTCAGTGAAAAGTAGAGAAGACAGCTGCTGTCTTCATTCTTGTACTTCCTATCCATCAAAAAACAATGATGCTAAACTAGAAAAACACATTTTCCCCATGAACCTGTTATACACAAGATGAGTTATTTGCCAGTATGCCCAATAGTATTTTTGTTTAATTGGCTGAACTTGGAAACTTAACTCAGTTCTGGGATTGCTGCTGCTTCCTCTAAAATTTCAATCTAAATTCAGATTCTCTGAAAAAAATACTTTCTTCTATGAGGCAAACAAAAAGATTATGTCAAGCATGGTGTAGAGCTGAGCCATGAACGATGAAGTTTCCATTAAAAACTGTAGCTCAAATGTCCTGTCCAACTTTTGGTATAAGTTCTGAGTGCTGACAGTATTTGAACCATCTCTCTTCCAAACTAAGCAACAGACCTGCTAAAACTAGAGCTGTGTCAGATTCCTTGGTTGAGTCCCAACGAGCAATAGCAGCCAAGAGACATGACGCCCAGCCCTTGGCCAAGTGTCAGTACTGTCTCCTTACAAACAAACAAACAAACAAACAAACAAATCATTAAAGGGCTAGGTCTGCTAGTCTTCTGTTTTACCTCCTCTTTTCTTTCCCTTTAAGAAATAAAAGTAGAGAAGCCATGTACTAGTTTGAGACAGTGTACTGAAAGCTCTAGGAAACACTTTAGCCCAAAAATTTTGGAACTAGATAGAGGAAAGGGCAATTTTGGAAAGCTGTTAGGATGATGAGGAAAATAACAGCTGACAATCTTAGCCTAGCTTGAATCTCTCTCACATATGGTGGTTTGGCATCAGTGCTGCCACGGTCAAGTGCCAGGTGAAGGGAGCATTAAATGGTCATGGCAGTCTCTGTCAAGCAGCAGTCAAAAGAGGTAGGAAAGCAAAATCTCTCTGAAATAAAAGGTAGATCATTCAGAAAATAATGAAGAGCATCACATATTGCATAAAGATGGATAAAAATAAGGAATGAAATAAAATGGGTGAAAAGTAACCAAACAAAAAACTTAGGACAGTGAAAGAGACAAAAATATTTGAGAAATAAACCTAAAGGACAAGGAAGAGGAAACAAGAGCAAAATAAAAATAAGTAAGAGCTCCACATTTATGGTGATGACCACAAATTTTAATATATATGTCCCCACTGAGTATGACCAAATGAAACCAAACTAAATCACTTTTCTGTTTTGGAATTAAACAAAATATTGGAAATATAAAATTATAAGTGTAGATATAAAATACAAATATAAAAATAGCCTTAGAAATTAAGCCTTTAAGAAAACCGCCTTCATAGGCAAGTGGACTACAGTGGATAAATATGTTACTAGAAAGAAAGCATAGGCACCTAAGAAACTTCTGATTCTGAAAAATTAAAAGCAAGACTAATTTAAATCAGAAGTTAGTTTTATATATTTGGATGTTTTTTCTGTCATTAATTATTAAAAAAAGGCCAATGAGAAATAAATCTTCAATTTAACCATGTATGTCTTTTTAAGAGAAAATCACCTTTGTTTAGCTGCAGATCAGTGTTGGTGGAACTCAGTACAACTAAATGTTGTGCATATGCTAAGATCTGTCCTTTTCGGTCATGAACAACAGTGAGTAATTTATAAATAAATATTAATATTTAAATATTTTTCTTTATATGGATAAGTACATAAACCTTAAGGTCATACACAAGGACAGTAGGCAATTCTGTACAGGAATTCCTTTATTCACTCTTTGTGTTAAGAAAATCTATTGGTTCAATATTCAAAATAAATGTTTCTTTGCCCTTGAAAGCTACACAGGAAAGTGTAAATTCATACATACATGCTGTAAGTATACTTGTATCAATGCAGAAATTCTCAGTCATATTGTTTTCGAAGTGCAAATCCAAATTATGAAGTAATGATTTCTTTTAAAATCTCATGTGTGTTAAATGTTAGAACTATCAGCTGAGCAAGGCTATTCTTCATATTTTTAATAAAAAGATATGTAGCTACCTGTTCATTTTGTAGAAGCTACACACTCAGCTCCAAAACCTCAGCCTCCTCTTGCACATATATATTTCTTCCAAGAAAGAAATCCCTCCACAAGAAATCCCCCAAATAAGGAAGCATGATTGCATAAAACAAAGGCTCAAATTAGGTCTAGCACACTTTTTCTATGATATTTTCCAATCCATGCACTTGGGGTCCAAGGATGACTGAAGAAAACCATAGAACATGAAAGCTGAAGATTATAGGCAGCAACTTGTTTCTGGTGTTTTAAAGGGTTCCCTTTAAAAAGGAAAAATTCTACCATAAAAATCCCAAATAAACAAGCACACGAAAAGACCACCAAACTTGAAAAATATCCATACTCATAAGAGGTGGAAAGTGACTGACTTCTCAGAGATATTTGTAATGTTGTTGTCAGAAACATGAATGTACTTTTGCCATTTGGAATTTTTTTCCATGTATCTGCATCATTTTTTCCTGGCTCAATTCTTATTCCTCCCACCTTGCCTGCCATCTGAAAAGGTCTTCCCAAAAGTACTCGCAGTCCCTCACATAGGCAGAGTAATCACAGCTCCTTCTAAACAGGTTTCCTCCCCTCTTTGCAGCCAAATATTTATAAAAGAAATATTATTAAAATAGAAACAGCAAAGAACAACATATGAAACCAGATTATCGATATACTAGTAGAAAATGTAGGAATTGGTGTTTCAGTAACGTCCTAGACACAAATATGTCTTCTGTGCAGAGGCACCCATAGTCATCTTCAATTTCATTCACCATGGGATGACGTTTATGACAGAAGACCTATGACTGGAGGTAGGAACCTATTTGACAGAGAGAGTAAGAACAACCCAATATACTGATTTGTTAGCCCTGGGAAGGAAGCTTTGAGCTTTATTTGAGGATGATCAATGCCATTTTCCTGTGGAAAGTGAAATAACTGTTGTCGTTACAGTTCTAAAAATATGTAATTATTCAACATGCTGCTCCATAGCTTTGACATTATATACTAGAAACATAGTATGTATTTTTGCAAGAGATGGAACAGGAGTAACATACTCGAGCTGATTATATATACACGCATTACTAGAGTGGGTATATGTGAAAGTTAGAAAGGATTTTCAGATTTTCCTTCTGAACTGATACCCTTTCCTAATCACTA